TTTTCACCATGAAGCGTCATAATCCTTCCGAATGAATATCCTTCACGTCTCATGGTAGAGTTTAAATGGTTAAATTTATTTATTCTGGTTAACGTTTTTTATCAAGATTTTCATCGAAGGTATAGGGTTGCTGACTTCGTACCATACTTGCCTCCTTTAACAGGGCTTGAGACCGGTAGTAACTCTAGAAGAGCTATAGGCGGAGTTCAGGTTACATCTGACAATTCAAAATTTTACTACTATTTACTTACTTACTTTACTTACGCCTGTTACCACTCGTTGATGAGTATAGGCAGCACACCAGCATTCTCCATCCAAACCTGTCCCAAACAATCCTTTCCACTTCTTTCCAGTTGACATTCATCATTTTCATATCTACTTCTATTTACCGACGTAATGTGTTCTTTGACATTCCACTTTTCCGCTTCCCTTCCAGATTCCAAGTTACGGCTTGCCTCATGATTCAGCTTGATGATTTTCTCAATGTATGTCCAATCCACTTCCAACGTCTTTTCATAATTTCCTATTCAGATGGAAGATCGTTTGTCCTCTCCCATAAAACGCTGTTGCTGATAGTATCCGGCCAATGGATGTTGATTATTTTGCGTAAACAACTGTTTATAAATACTTGTACCTTCGTGTTGATGATTGTAGTAGTTCTCCACGTTTCAGCTCCGTACAGTAGGACTGTCTTGATGTTCGTATTGAAGATTCTCACTTAGGTGTTGGTTGACAGTTGTTTTGAGTTCCATAAGTTCTTCAATTGTAGAAATGCTGTCCTTGCTTTGCTTATCCTCGCCTTTACATCTGCATCAGATCCTCCTTCTTTATCAATGATGCTTCCCAGGTAATTACCATGTACATCACGGTTATTTTGTAGTGATTATGTCTTTTTCTCATTTTGGTTTTACGCGCTCTTCTCATATTTAACCATCCATTCATTTCATTATTGTTGTAACCCAAATAGAAAAACAAATTATATAAACACATCCATGACTTAATTATGACTATTATCATCATTAACATGATTTAATCTATATACAATTGTTATAATTTTACTAACAACAACAATTCACATGTTCTGAACAAATATTTCTCCCTGTAATTATCAAGTTTGATGATGAATTATCGAAAATGTGTACTTGTGAACATCGAATTTTCTATTCATAATCATGGAACTACTCAAAACATTATCAGTATCACTGAGGTTATTGTTATATAATGCCTGGAACTTAGTGACTTGTTTCAAAGGATTTAGTTATAAAGCGATTTCGATTGTGTTGAGAAATTACTGTTTACTAACTTTATACATGATTTGAATAAATTTTCGGCTCATACTCTTGTAGTGCATAACTTAATTTGATGATCATTTGGTCTTGAAATCACACATGCCTACTAGTAATTGGACACTTTTTATTTAGTCACATCTTAGTTTCACCTCACATTTTCTCTTCTGTGTTTCTCATCTAGATTATTTATTATACACTATTCACCACATTTCTGTAACAACATGGAATTCGTAGCCAAGATTAAAAGACGATACTGACTGGGCAGATTTTAATTAACTGAGCTTAACAATATTATTTTTCGCATAGTAATGCTTATTGATTATCAGTTTTTACTGGTGCATTTTGTCTTGAGATTTTTTAATTTTTTATATCTAAGTCACTTATCAAGTCCCTTCATCTAATCTGGTATTCAACAATAAAATTTAACCAAGTATTTTAATGGTATTTGTATTTCCACAAATTTCGTTATACTGTAGACAATTCCCAATGTTAAATCGTAATTTATATCATTCCGATGAATTATAGTATGTTTCGTTTTATTTATGTCAGTATTTAACGTTACAATTTACCCTCATGTCATTTACATCACGTTGTTGTTTTCATTCTTTTCAAATTAATAAACGGAACTACCTGTACTAAACCATGTATTTTACATGACTTAAGGAGTGGTCATTTTCTTTATTCTAATAACGGTCTAATATAAACTCAAGATAATCGGAAACAAATTTGCTACCAGTTTATAAACTCATGGATCGATTATAATAAAAATAATATATTTGGAATGTTCCTTTGGGCAGAAAAATTCAAGTTTTTGAAGTTTCTTCACTCACTTCGTGCCACTTTTCAGAGGATAAGTAAATAAACAAATTAAATTAATATAATTTTAAATAATATAAGAGAACATAGTAAAAATATTTAGCAAAATCAATCAGAAAAGGGTCTGACCAAGTCAGTGTAATGTCAATTATAGGAGTTTTGTAAGATACAAATGTGGTTAAAAAAGACCAAGCAGAATAGATTTGAATGACCGATGAAGGATATGGATGTCGTATCTGATGGGTTGTAGCCGCTTACATTCATCTGTCTTTGTCCTAAGTGTGACGTTCGGATATTGATCCAGTCAAGTTAAGATTCTGGCCTTAATCTTAGCATCTTGGAGTAACTGAAGAGCTATGGGGAATATTAGGCATTTTAATCAGTGTAACTTTAACCATTCACACTATTTCTTGAAGATTTCTGATAGAGCATTATAAATATCGGCTGCGCGTTCCATCAAATTTAAACACTGTTATCGAATACTAAGCAGTGAAGATGATTTACCGAATACCTGTGACAATTGAGTTACCATGACCTGAAAACTGAGCTCTAGAAATAAATTTGGCAATAAACGGTCAGCGTAGCGTGCATGTTCATTACTTCCCAAATTACACATCGACAATCAGGTCTTACACGCGTCATTTCATTCGCAGAATTCTATTCTAAATGTATCGTCACAACATATGAACAACGTCAGGAAGATATTGATACTCCTGGGGTCATAACTAAATTCTGTGATGATGTTGGAACTACATCACAAGAAGTACATAAAACAGCGCCTGAATCCGAATGATGATTATAAGGCAGTTGCATTAGATATTCGAAAAACCTCAATTGTGCATAAACTTGTGCATGCAGTTCTTGTATTATTAACTTGAGCCGGTAATAAGTTATCTGGCTTTCGAATATGTTCTACATTTCCTTGTCACCACCATTACGAACTCTCTTATTACGACACAGCTTCTCTTATTGTCGAGCATTCACGGACACTACTTTACTCGACAGGTTCCCAAATCAGAACACGATTGAACAGGAACGTAATTATATTCCAGGTGAACAAGGATCAATAGAAGTAAGAATGACGATAAGAAAAATGTTAGTGTATTTGCGATTTTTACATGAGAAGATCCCAAAGTCTTCTTCAAGTGTCCGCTAGCAATTCTTGGTTAAGAAATAGCCAATCAGCGTGCCCTCAACACAATCTTGAAAGGAACATGCTCTTACCCTATCTATATCCCACTAACACAGTTGTACATAAATTCCAATACATAAAAGCTTGTGTTAGTACTTTCATGTGCTTCCCGTTAATCGAGTTATTACCTTCACTTGATATTTATAACCATTTAGTCGGGAAAACTTCTTCCCAATAAACATCACCACATGACTCATTATAACAAATGGGTGGCATTTCATCCAGTCTATGTCATATTTTCAAGAATACTTTTATCATTTTTTTTTCAAAGTTCTTCCCTTGAACTTCTTTGATAATTCAAGTGTATATTGTCTTTGTTGTCGGAGATAGTTATAACGACTTGTTTTTATTTTTACCTTTCGCACTAGAATAATCGATGACAAACCCTGTTAATCTAGAATACAAACAAATCCATGAAAACTATCTTAACATTGAGAATGAAAGAAAGGTATTGAGTAAACAGTTTGATCTCTTCTTTATTTCACAATAATTCCCTTCTCTTTTTAATTAGTTAATTGAATGATCAACTGTCCATCATATAACACTTTAGAGAAAGAACAATAATGTGATTATCAGGAAAATTCTGAAATACACTAGTTTGTTGGGTAAGAACATGCGATATACATTGCAATAAACGATTATTGTATTCGATATAAAGATTAAATAGTGTTAACTGACTGGCAGAATCTGTGTGACTAACCTTATTTGGCCACGTTGAAACGATACAGTAAATAAGTCAAATGAACTGAGAAATTTCATGACCGACGAAAAATACGTATTAGTTTGACCTGAAAATTTTATCAATATGAAGTAAATTCATTTTGACAATTCGAATTAAATGAACAAAATTAAACATGTTTCTATGTTAAAATCTCCTAAAAGTTTGTTTTGTGTGGAAAACATTCCTCACTCTTGTAACATGTATTTCATTGTATCTGGTATGGAGAATCCTTCAATATGGGCATAAAATCTTTATCTAAATTATATTGATAAGAGTTTGACGAAACTAGATCTGATAGATGACATTGATCTTTTATAAGCTGATTCATTGAAAGTAAACCACATTAGTAAACTATTGTTCTTTCATCAAACGAATTCTATTTAAGATTTTATCATCGTAGTTTCATACATAATAAAATACTTAAATCAGGGATGTTTAATCTGTGTCACCTAATTAACAGATTATTTATCTCATATTTGTATTATTTTATCAATCATTACATTGTCGATAACTAGCTACTTTTTTATCATCACTTCTAATATAGAAACCCGAATTGATTTAATCATAATTTGGTTTGCTTTAATTCAGGTTTGGATTCTCAGAAAATTATCTATCACCAAGATAATCTGTAGCTCGATAACTAGGAGATTTAATGAATCTTTAAAATCTTGATTATGTATTCTTGATAATTCTTATGAAACATAGGATATAATATTTGATTATATATAATTAGCATTCAGAATGTTATAGTCAGTTTATATCAAAGGAATTTATGGAACACTTGCATTATGTAATGTTTTATCTTGCTTATTTCTTTGTGAGTAATTAAGATTATACTGCCATTAAACAGCCTTTGTAGGATAACTTAGTTATATTATGATCATAATGAAAGAATACTAGTTGAAATTATTTTGACATACAGATTAGAAATTTTAACAACTGTTTCGAATAATGGTCAGCTGCTATAAAGTTACATAAAATGCTCCCATACATGTTGACTGAACAGTTCATAACACCATAGTTCCTAAGGATATATTTATCCTAGGTTGATGTATTTAGCTATTCTAGTAATAAGACAAAATCATGATTAATCAGTAGATTTAAACAAATGTGCCTATCTATCTATTCTTTCTAATAGCCTTATATCCAAATATGCATACGTCCAGCTATTTCATACTGTTTTGTGACTTCTAAGTAAAATAACACTCTTATATTTTAAAAAGTGTTGAACATACTAAATCATAAGTAGGAGTTAAGCAAAATATTTATAGAATTATAAGTTTTTTGGTGGATCACTTGCTTCAGTCAACTAAATCTAAACCTGACCTGCCATCAGTATCATTTTAAAACCACCAAGGAATGATTATTGTTTCAAATGTAAATAACTCACTTAATCGTCATTTGTCTTATACATTTATCAATTAGAAATTTCACGATTTGGTTCAACAGTATAGAGCCTGTTCTCATTATAATTAAATACAATTATTAGTTATTATTTTTATTTATTCTGCTAATTGATCAACGTATTTTGGTTAGATGTAAAAGTTTGAGTAAATATTCTACCAATAACAGATTACTTAAACTTAAGTCAGTAAATGTGGGAAGTATCATTCAGATGTTCTCCTTTTTTTTACCCAATACAACCAAATGTTTATTTAATAAAGGGAGCTCTTGATGATTGTTGAACTCGATAGTTTTAATCGGATATATTGGGTGAAATTAAACGTGTGGAATAGTGATTGCCAGCCTGGTGATCTAATGGCTAATTATTAGTTCTGGAACCTGAAGGTCTTGAGTTAGGTCCTCAGTTGGGTCGTGGATACATCCTATACAAGAACGAATAAGCTGACCTAAACTTCCTAACTTTCAGTGTTTAACGATTATCAATTCATGAGGTTATGCATTTCAAGACAAAATGGGCTAATGATATTAAAAAGAAAAACAGTGATGCAAAAAGTTGCTATTTCTTTGAAATTACATGAAATGTGGATACATCAACCTGAATTTCAAAATCATTTTAAGTACTTTACAATTTGAGTTTTGGAATAGAACTATAAAGCTATTCAGTACTTGTTCATATTCATTCATAGTAAACTTTCTCTAACCAATAAATAAATAAAGTATAACCGAGGTCAGAGTATACTCAGGCATAAATACTGTCCCAATTACTCGCAAACTGGTTAAACCTAGTTATTCACTTTGATTTTATTGAAGCTTTGAATTACTACTACCCCCTCTATTTGATATTACTTAGTATATATTACTTATATATGTATTATGTATTACTTAATATAACTTTCACTAACAACAAAGGACAATGCTCTTGAGAAGATTGAAGCAAAAGTTGATAGGAACATATTTGAAACATTAATTCCAGGTATATCACTGACTTTTTAAAAAATATATCCAAAACTACTAAAAAATGGCTATCGGAACAGGATATTTTAAACTGCGACTAACTTTATTTATTCACCAAGATTTAAATCTGATTTGTACATTAGCTGAAAATACAGATGTGACGTGCTTCTAACCAATGTTAAGAACAGTTCTACCCAGCAGGGAAAATTCAACAGTAAATCGTTAACTCAAATAAAGAACAAACAAGAAAGTTAATTCTTCATCATATTTGACAAGTCCTTCATCGAACTAGTCTTATTTACATTTGAACAGAAGATAATAAATACCAAGGTTCCACTGAATGCAATCCCATTTCCTAAAACAGTCCTATTTTATAACAAACTGGCTTTAGCATAGGAACTATTAAAAACCAAGGCGCAGATAAAAATTCTGTCCACTCTCAGAACCTAGAAGTTGTCCACACCAGACTCCATGTAAGATCAAACTCTAGACTTTCAAGCCTCACTGCGACCACGTCTCATTTAAACCGGTTTTAAGATATCAACAAACCTTTTCCGTGTCAGTTGGTGATGAAAATTCTTTAAGAACACTTCGAAAGATTCACAAAGCCATCTTAGTAAGCAATAATTCGACCATAAGTATCCTGTGCTATTTGGGAATAGTTTTCAATTATTTCCTTGGTTCGCCTGAGTCATATATTGATCATTCACTAACCATATGGCTTTTGTTTATCTCTCTCAATCGTTACCTATATGCATTTATTAAAATCTCACTTAAAGATCATTTGTTAATTATTAAATCATTGATGATTAACTTCCTCGTATCGCTTCTAAATGATACCAATTACCTACCATTAACAGATTTCACAGGCATTGAGAAATAGTATGTTTTCATCCCAATTGTCATGCATTGATACATTTTTTTATTAATTGTTACCGTATCAATGAATGTTTGGGTCTCCTGTTCAGTTATCAGTAGCAATCCTACAGTAATTTCCTATTACTGTTTTCACACAAGTAAGGTAGGCTTCCTTAAATGACAGAAGTCTTCCGTGAAGTATTTATTTTCTTACTAACTGTAAAACTCTTCTCGTCCTTATTTTTTTTAAGATATTGCTTAATTTGTGTAGTGCACTCTCGATACTCAAATCTATCTGAATTTATGTGCAGTGAATTAATATTACACCAATTTCCCGACCGAACTTATGAATCTACCAACTGAAACCAAGTGCGCAAAAGTTTATAATGGTAACTGTGAGCCACGATGTAGTATTTTATTCACTTTGTCTTTCTGTACTTCAGTCAAGAAGCTGAATCAAAAACTGTCCGTGCATTTTAGAGTGACGACTAGACACCTAATATTTCTTGAGGACGATTTTATGGGAGGTTAACGTAGTTTAGGCGTTCTTAAGGACTAGAAATGCTGGTATTTTCAAACAGACAGATTGCTATTTATCAGTGAGATAACGTAATAAATTTGATCTAAGCACAAGAAATCAATCTGCATGCATGTACCAATCTAATCAATTGAGTTTAATCGAGGAAAAATAACAATATTACAGTTAAATAAATATATTGCATAAGACCGTTTTCCATATGTACGTTAAGATGTTTTCAGCCTTGAACATCTCATCAAATGATTTACTTTGAAGCCATTTTCTTTACGAATCATTATTTTCATACTTCTTAGTAAATTAAAATTCATATCATAAAGACACATTCATATAACTTAAAATAAGAACCTAATAAAAATAGAAAGTATACTGATCAAGATACTGTAATGATGTACACAGACACAAAAAATATCGACTGTTATTTATATTCCACAAATTCATAATCATATAAACATGATTGTCATTAAGTAATCTAATATTCTATAATATTATTTTAAAAATTATGTGAATAAAAGAAATTTCAGATTAAGTTCAGTAAAACAAATGATTGATATTTAACATTTAACTAACTCAATAGGAATCAAGATGTTGCTTTGCTTAGTTATTTACTCTTTTTTATACTCTTATATATTTTATAAACAACTGAGAAACTTAAACAAGACAAAAAAATTGAATTGAAAAGTAAATCAACAAGGACAACTACACAACACAACGACAACAACAATTAAAATAAAGAATTCAACACAATCTTACATTCAATCTTTCATTCATTTATATAATCTAATCACAAAACAAAATAAATACAGATAGATTATGTTTATACTTTGTCAAATCAATTTTACATCATCATTATCCATGAGAGTGAAAATATAATTAATCTCATTTTCTTAACACAATGGGTTTTGTTGTTATGTTAATTCATACTTTATGATCAACACAATATTAAGAAACATTAAACCATAATTTTTGTTAGTTGAGGAAAAGATAAACAGAATAGACAGTAATAGTAATTGTGGTAATAAAAAGACTGGTAGTAATAATAGTAATAATCTATGATTTTTAAAAAGAAACAGAAATAATTTGGGCTATGTATACACGTATTCCAAAAATGAATTTTAAAAAGTGTATATTAGTTGCCAATATCTAGAGAGAGAGAGAGAACAAAAACTGGACAATAACAGAACAACAAATTAATAATAAGTATAATGAATGTAAGAAAGAAGGTAAAACAATAAATGCAAAAACTAACCAAATTAGGAGAGAAAAAAATGCAAAATGTATATTATGTAGCTAAGATGTGAAAACAAGTAAACTGAAGTGAAACCATTATTTAGTTCCATTTGTATGCGTATATAAGTGTAGATTTGTGACTGTATCTAAGTACTTGTATGGTAGGTAAATAGGTATGCGCAAAGTAAAATATATACATGAGTTGGGAAGAAAAATATACATGCGTTCTTTATTCTACCACGCACTCTTCATAACTATTCTATATTTATTATAAATTTCATCTAGTAACAAATAGTACAAACACTATCTATCTCTATTGCTAACCACTATAAACATTGCACAATATAACATGACAAGTATATTGACATGTACATTTTTAATAAAAATACAACCGACATGCATTCTTAAAATGCAAACATTTTCAAATATAATTGAAATGAAAAAGTCAAGTATAATGTAATAGTCAGACAATCGAAACCCTTTTTCTCTCCTAATTTTTTTTAGAAATTAGATAAGGTTTAATACAATGCAATCACTGTAACCAGTAATGTATTACGTTAAGAAAATTACAGGTCAATTAAAAATTATAAGTTAAATGAATAAGTGTACAAAGATGCTAACAATAACAAAAACAACTCTAACCGAAACTTACAAGGGTAATAATATTGGAAACTGTAGTTATAGGTATAACGTTAACGCAGTCAGATAACTAACAACACATTCAATGTCTCTCTGTATGATTTTATGTGATATTAATAAATCATGTAGATTAAGAGAAGCCATACACAACAACAGTAATATTATCACTGAAATGATAAGAAGTTTAAAAACAAAACAGTCTATTAACCAGATTTCAATTTAACGAATTCAGTAAAAACACTATTTGACTGAGAGAAAACAAACTTTCGGCGCAGTCACTGAGATTCAGAACAAACGGATAAAAATGCAACGAAATAAAACGGAAAAACAATTACAAAAATTAGAAAAAAACGAACTAATAAAACATATATTGCACACAAAGAATATGAAGGGCAAATCGAGGGAATAATGAATAATCAGATTCTATGAATCTCAAAACTAATTAAAAACGACTAATAATATAAATAAACAAGATTGTTCAGAAAAGTAGACATAACACAGTGTAATACACAATAACTTTATACACAAAATAAATGAGCATAATATTTTCTTACCATGATAGAACCATAAAATTCAGGTTTATATTATCATCAGAAATGGGACTGTTCTAAACTTAATTACAAACAGAGTAAACGGAATTTCATGCTTCTAATTAAAAGCAAGAATGAACAAAAAATGTATACAGTATGACATTAGAAATGGAGGTTGAACAACTATCTCATACAATATAATTTGATACAATTACTATAAACACACGGGGATTATAACGACCATCTCGAAGCTTAAATGGAATGCGATTTTCAATTAGAAAGCTGCCATCCTCCAAATCTTTCTTCATAAACTGTAGATAAATGACTAGCATCGAAAATCTAAAGATCAAGACTGTTAGTGAATCAAAGTTCGAAACAATAATTATACTCTAAGAATAATACACACAAATTAAAATGACCAGTAAATATTTAAGATGACTTATTATTGAAATGACTACCAACACCACCATCTGGTGCATTAACATCTTGATTTACATCTGTCTCAACGGCTTGATCACCAGACTTGGAACCTGTGACTGAATCTAAAGATGACCTTTGACCTCTGTGATTTGTGAGTGGATAGGAAGGCATCGATGCCTGATGACTTAGGCGAGGACGAGGATGTGTAGAACTTTGTGGAGGTGAGTGTGACATCTGTGACGGACGACTTGTAGAAGTGAGAGGCTGTACAGAACCGCTAGTAGTAACAGTTAAAATAGATGATGTTATAATAGTAGGAGGAGGATGAGTGTCTGTGTTTGACATAGGATCAAGAACACCATACATTTTATGGGCTTTTTTGTTCATATGTGCCATCAATTCACAAGAAATGCGATAGCCTTCTAATATTTCTTCTTTCCACTGTGTAATCATGATTTTGTCCTGAAATAAAAGAAAAATCATCATACTACTAGTAATTATAGTACATATTAGATAAAACGTTGACTAAGGTATTTAGAAAACTGAAAACACCTGGAGAAATATGTATACACAATGTCATATGTGATTCCTTACAGCAACAAGAATCCTTTACAAAACGCATATGGAGCTCATCTTCAGTTAGCTCGAATAATGTGGTCCACAAATCTGAACTTTTCAGATATTGGTTTACTCTGACGATAACTACATGTCTAACTGAATAGTTCTCAATAGAAAATTCATTATTAATACAAAACTACAGATGTGAAATATGTCCAGATGAACTACAAGACTTTTGAATATCCTTTAAAACAATATGTTGATAACGTTTTCTTAGATAAAGCCGTACATTCTATGAGAAATATTTCAACTGATGTAAATAAACGAATACAAACAAAAATAGTGGATATACAAACGAAAGTATCTTAGTTGATTATTTATTTGTGACTTAAACATCGAGAAAGAACACGTGGAAGACTTCAAAAAGTTCGCACTGTGATTCCTTTAAGTTTAACTCTCGAATATTATCTTAGACAAGCTAATATCAAAAATCTTTGTATGATCCTGTGCTTCTCCAGTGAATAGAGAAATATGGTTGATGTGAAAAGCGAAACAAGAAGCCTTAACAAACTACGGAAGCTATTTTTGAGGACGTTATTTCATTTAATTCAAAGCTTGTAAAACTTTAACATTTACTTTTGTCCCTAGTCTATTCTACAGATCATAAGCTTTCGTTTGATGTATGATTCACTGTCATAGCCTTTTCTGTTCCAAAGCTATTGTAATTTAGACGTGACCTTTTGTACTCTACTTTCTACTTTAATCCCCCAGTTTTGGACATAATTGTATTTTTCTAATTATTGTACGTTGTGGTCAGGTTAGTCATCTATTTATTCTTGTATCTTTTCACACTAATCTGAATTCGGAATTCGGGTACCTGATCGGATTTTGGGAATAAAGCGAGTAGTGTTCCATTTGTCTTCTCTTCTCTCTCGCACGTGCTTGTTAGTCAATCAGGGATAGAATAGTCTTATCTACCACTCTTCAAGGTTAAGCCAGTCAGCGTATCGCGTCAAGGTCTTAAACTACATTGGACAAGTTATCCTCGGCACGAATGTGGGTAGACAGATCAAGGATGTAACAATGACCTCATGTTTAAAATATGTTGGATAAAGTAGTAGAGTAGGAGAAAGTAAGGAGTGGGTAAACTAAAATATGACATCAATTCATGGAGTTATTAACTGTTGATTTGAGTAGTGAGGTAGTAAGCGCAGACTACGTCGATGGGGTCGGTGAAATAACCGCGATTAGAGCTTGAAAATAGTGGGTGATACGGCTTAGAATAAGCTACAGTGGAGTACATGGATCTACCTTTTATCTTCCCAGAAGAACTTGTCACACTTTTACATTATGAAATCGTTGCTTATTTTCTAACCATATCTCCACGTTTATTCTCTCTAAGCGTAATTAACATTACTACCATCGAAGTCTTTTGATACTCATTTAGTTGATTCCATCTCATTGTGATGAAATGAAGCACCAGTTTGGAGTAATGTACATTTGTATCAAGTCCTAAGTTGAATGGTTGACTGACTTAAATTCTTTATGGCACAACAATGACGAGCCAGTGCATACTTAAGAAATTTGGCTATGCATCTTCAGTCAAATGTACAAAGACACCTCAGAGAATAAAATGAAGCTTACATTTGAAGTTATGTACAATCGCGTATCATTTTTCAGTTTAATTGAAATACAATTATCCATTTTACACACACGAGAAAACTCTGGAGAAATTTCTTTGATATCAAGCATTGATATAAGCTAAAACAGAAAATTTTTAACACGGCAGATGGAAAGAAAAAATATGATTTGTTATTATTAATTGTTTTAGTTATTATTCAGTGTCTTAAAGTATGGCAACAATGAGAATCCATAAACACGCTAAGCTATGATCATTCAAAAAAAACAGTCTGAAGATAAACAGAGATGGATGGTGACTAGAAGTGGAATCCAGGACGCGGCGTCTCGTCCTGTCTGGGATTCGTCAGTTGGATGTACCTGCTTCCCAGAGCTGATGTTTACTCCGGGACTCGAAACAAGTAATCTTTTGCTTCAAACACTATCGTGTTATCCACTTAGCTACTGAGTCCAGATAACCATCAGCTTGTGCAATGGGGTGAAATTTAACCCATTTTATATTGGTTGCGTGAATCTTCCCAATGACGTTTAAGACGTTTAAGTCTCCTACTGGCATATGTTCATCCTGTGCAGATACCGAGACAATCCGCACAGGATGCACATATACCAATAAGAGACTGATCACTTGCAGTCCTAAACACCAATGGAAAAATTCAAACAACCAATACAAAATGAATCAATCTGTGATAAGTCTATGAACAGTTAGAACTAACTAAAAAACGTAACCTTCACGAGAACAACACAATGTAATCATGTTTTCAAGTTCGAAACTCGAATGACATTTATCCACTCTTTAAAACGAAAGACCGAAAATTGAGTAAGCGAAAGTAACTGAGTGTTATGGTTCCAAAAGAAGAACATAGACCTTCCTAACTCCAAGTTTGGTCAACCCACTGTAAATCAAGTTATATGAAACCCCACACTGTCTTCCTTCCGAAGATAACTTAATTATCTAAGACTCTAATACTTTTACACAAAAACCACTAAATAAGTGTCGTAACTGCGATCTGGATCATCATGCATAAGTATATGAACAATTCATTAGTAGTAAATAAATATAAAATACAGAAAGTGTGACTCATCAAGTACAGGTGTATGTAATCAAACTTCAATTGTAATCTGTGTGAGCTGATGATAGTATTTAAGTACCCACACCAACGTGACCGGGTCGAGGTTTGAACTTGAGACCCCTGGTTGAAAACCGAGTGAATTAACTACTAAGTCATTGCTCTTCCTAATACTTTGACACTTTCCATACTTTAGGTACACATTTCCTATTAGTTTGAGGTTGACAATAAATAAATATCCTCGTAAGTAATATGGTTTTCAGCAAAACTAAACTAGTTATTATTCATAGATAGATAGTGTGATTTGATTTCAGTTTGGACAGCTCAAATACACTCATCATCATACACCACCACGGGTTCCCATAACAAATAGATATTTTGGACCCTAATAACCAGTGTTTATCATGAATTATAAAACACTTTAGTTGCCAGCGCTATGTCAAAGTATAGTTCCTAATAATCTGTAAAATAAACATTATTGACCTGTGAAAATAATCCCCTAGTCAACTTATTTTAATATTTGGAACATAGTTATGAGAAAGAGGTAATTATTAATTATTTAGTGATACAATATGTATATTCTAGTTAAGCTAGAGTCATAATTCGGAAACATACTTTCCAACAAAAAAAATGAAATGATGAAACATTGAAAAACCACAAACCTTACATCAAAAGCATAACCATATGCATGCTACCCGCTGTGGAAAAACGAACAAAAATACCATTTGGTAAAAGTTTTCAAGCTAAAAATCCATTAATATTGACTGTTGTAGACATATTAACACACAGAAAATTGAAATACCATGAAATACATTGACATTAAGAGGAACGAAATTAGCCAAACTTAAAACGTAAGTCACACTTACATCAACACCTTTCTTGAGAATTAAGCCATCTCTAGACTTGTTGTATAATTCAATACGGTTGGGAAACAAACGTAGATGTTTACGTTGCCATGTTTGCAAAAATGGTCCACCGAGTTTTAAAACGTCACCTTCAACAATGCAGTCAGAGGCTATCCCATCAACAGTCATATTGTCAGAAAGATTTCCACCTGATCCACTATTTGAAATTCCTACATTTCCAATGTTTAATAAATTTCCAGTACTTGAAGTAACTCCAGATAAGCCACTATTTGAAACATCAGCGGTTTGTGTGGAACGTTGTCGTGCACGAGCTTTTTTATTATCTAATTTGTCTGCTTCTTGATTTACAAAATCAAACACAGTTTCAGCTATTTCTAACTGCCAACGTTCGGATACAACAAGTGAAAAGTTCTGATACAATGCTTGATCAGCTTCTGTGAGCTAAATATTCCAATTATTTAGGAAATTAAGAATATTGTTTAAAAAATTAAAAGAATCAAGATTTTAATGCAATTTCAAAAATATTTGCTACATATTTTGAAAAATATGTAACAGATACAGTTTTGTAAGTATCATTCATTACCAATCTTTAGTTGCTTGGTAATATCGAATGAATTGAGCAATGAGTAGATTGTTAATAATAGAACTAATAATAATATGTTTGTGAAATCCCAAATATATCATTATCTCTGTTATTAGAAATATGTAAGTTGTTAACAACCATTCGTAAAAACAACGAATAATTTGAAAATGATTAAATTATAATGATCTGAGACTAAGTTTAAAATATTTAGAACAGTCAAATCTTCAAGACATTTTATATATTTCATTTTTAAACGAATTGCGGCGTTATAATTTTCATTGCAAACAGAATAGGAAGTGACATTTGTCAAATAAACTTTCAGATACAATGTGTTTACGACTAATGGAATAATGTAACCGCCTAAATATTTTGGTATATGCTCACCCTGATTCCAAACCAATGGTGCACATGGGCTCCAGTATCCTGAGGGAACAAATGGCGTACGAATCAATCGTCGGCCACCGGCTACCATGAGACTGCATCTCCTCACGATGCTCTACTGCCTTGTGGATCAGACCTTTAGGTCAAAGGCTCCGGGTGTGGCTCACCCCCCAAGAAAACCACCTGTTTCAGTTTGGGCACCTGGGCAGTATCACAGCCCTCACACAAATCAAATGAGATTTGTGCGGCGCATATGTATCTAGTGATTCCTTGTACCTATATTTATGTGTTTAAATAAATAAATTTGCTATTTGCTACTGAAAAACCGCTGATCAAAACAAATTAAGTAAGAATACAAAGACTGTAGACGAAGATTTATTTGAGATTCAAAATAAGTGCAAATGATATCTGAATACACTAATTTAGATGTAATTTACACTGAATAATGGTAGTAACCGTCTATGACCAACAGATATAACTAATATGATTAGTCTTTCTTAAAAAATATGATTGAATGTTATAGACAATTGAAAAATAAAATTCATATCATTTATCACTAATGTTCCAATCAATGAAGTCTGCTTACCGTATCAGGTGATAAGTGAACGATAATGTAAACGAATTATTAAAGGCAGGAAATTGATAGATTTAAATATGTGTCCTTTACAACCTATCAGAAAAATCAAGTTGCGATTCAGTATATATCCCCTTAACAATTAACTTTGTTATAACTACAACATAAACGATCTTCTCAATCAAGACGTATTTTGTATGGTGACGTTAAATAAATATTGCTTCAAAATAGCCAACGGATGATTCTTTGCAATAATAAGGTTACTAAAGGGGGATAGATTTGAACAAACACAAATTTCGTCGCTATGCCTACTACTTTTAAATAACCAGTTTATGAGCTTTAGAACAAATATTTTGTCCCTCGCAATGCTCATTGGAGTGGTTTAAATGTGGAAATTAATAGTGGAGAACGAAACCCCTTAATCAAATTTTCACCTTTGCATTCATTAATTAAACACCTCTTACCTTAATACCTTTAGTATCTTCCTCATCAAAAGAGCCAATGTCAAAGGCATCTGCAGCGTTTACTTCACCCCGAGGTGGAATTAGAGGTGGTGGGTACTTTTGCAGATAAACCTGCTGCCAATCAATTCCTCTAAAAAATGGATGCTCTCGAACTTCAAGAGATCTAAAAAATGGATTTAGATGAGAAAGTAAAAGTTATATCCATGGAATTAAGTATATAATTAAGAAACACATTATTAGGATATGCTATACATAACCACCAGAAAGGAAAACAAATGGATTAGAATCAAGCTGAAAATGCAAGTTAGATACACAAGATTAATTATCAACTGTTAATTGATAAGGTAACTGATAAATTTGAAAATAGTTCTTTCAAACATTTTAGAAATAAAACTAGTGATTTATTGTAATCATTAAAGTGGTTGTCTAATATCGGCAGAAATAGTTTTGTCTGTAAGAAAAATTGAAGAAACACTCTAACAAATATGACGAAGACATGTTCTAGAAAACAACACAGAAATAAATATAGATTTATCACCTGTTAAATATGCAGAAAATCCGTCAAGTAGTTTTTTTTAATATCTACAATTAACTTGTTGTTGGCAAAATAATACTCATAATCAATCTCTTTAATCAAATATAGATTAGATATTTAACGTTTTCTAAAATAAGGCTACTTAAACTATCATAACTGTGAATGAGCATTGAATAGACTGTTGAATGGAACAGTTCAAACTAAACATGCTGAAGTGTTTACAAATATCCAATTACCATCTAATAACTTTTAATAACTAAACAATCAACATTTAATAATTATTTACTGACTAAAATTCATAAATTTCTTCACTTGTTTCTAGATTGATTAAAATAATACACCAATGTAAACGAATAGATGAACGGACAAACAAAACTATGTTAGGATAACTAAAACCTTTGTTAAGCTATGAAATAAAACACATGTCGATTGAAACATAAAACAACTCAACTGTCTGGAGGAAACTCGTATAACCTAGAAAAATTAAAATAATATAGTCAGACAAGATGAAAAGCTAAATCAAGAAAATCCCCCAATATCTCATCTCCCGTACCTACGATCACTTTATTTATTTATTTATTTAAACACATATATATTGGTACAAAAGGGCACCAGGTACATATGCGCCACACAAAATAATGAAAGGAAGAGAAGGGATGAAAAGATAAGGCGGGCTGAAATGTACAACCAGAAGACTCTTTCAGTTAGGAAAGTTAGAACCATTCTTTATGTAGAAAGTAAAAGAAGGTTGCAGCAGGATCGCCACTGGCTTCTATTCTGAGCCATATCTGATAACGTCTCTAGCCACTGTGTTGCACTATCTCTCGGACCCCAACCAGGGAGTCGTGAAGGACCAACAAAAGCTAGCCCTTTGCAGCTCTCTTTCATGCCACGACACCATGTCATACACTGACCTCCTCTCCGCTTTCTCCAACCAGTCCCAGGGTCGGCAAATAATGCACGACGTGGAAGTCTCTGGGACGACATTCGTAAAACATGTCCAAGCCACCGAAGTCGGTATTTCAAGATGGTGACACCAATTGAATTATCGTCTCTGCGCCCCAACACACGATGCCGAACCTCTGCATTACTAACATGGTGTTGCCACTGGATGTCAGCAATCCTTCGGAGACAACGATGATCAAACACAGAGAGACGTCTAACATCCTCAACTCGGAGAGGCCAGGTTTCACAAGCATAGAGCGAAACTGCTCTCACCGACGCGTTGTAGATCCGACCTTTTACAGCCAGACTAACATCACGAAGGCGCCAAAGATGGCCCAGATTGGCATAAGCCGCTCTGGCTTTCATTATACGTGCATCAATCTCATCACTCACGCCACCACCAGCACTTATATAGCTACCTAGATACACGAACTTCTCAACTACTTCGATCTCCTCACCATCCAGGGTGAGTACAGGATGAGAATCCTGCCAGTCTTGTAGGAGTACTTTGCACTTGGAGGGTGCAAAGCACATGCCGTACCCGCGGACACTGATTGCCAACTGATTAAGTGCTGATTGCATGCCTTGGGCATTATCGCACAGTAAGACAATATCATCCGCATACTCAAGGTCGAGAAGTCGTTCTCCAGGCAACATATCCACACCGCCATTACTTACATCCATCAGAGCTGTTTCCAGGATGTCGTCGATGGCAAAGTTGAAGAGGAATGGTGAGATCGGGCAACCCTGCCTAACCCCACTGCTCGAATGGAACAAGGGAGAAAGGTGGTTGTATGCCCTCACTCTGCCTGAGGTGTTCGTATACAGGGCCTTTAAGATGTTAATGAACTTCTCAGGCACACCCTTCTTCAATAGACAATCCCAGAGAACAGTCCTGTCCAACGAATCGAAGGCCGCCCTGATATCAAGAAACACTACGATTGTTGGCCTGCGATAAGTATGACGGTGTTCTAACATTTGGCGGAGGGTGAAGATGTGATCAATGCATCCTCGACCAGAACGAAAACCAGCCTGCTCCTCGCGAGTCAATCGTTCTCGGGTTTTAAACAACCTACGAAGAATGATAGAAGCCAATAGTTTGGACGCAATCGAAAGTAGACTTATCCCCCGGTAGTTATTGCAGGAACAACGTGAACCCTTTTTAAAGATAGGGACGACTATAGACTCATTCCAAGATGTTGGAACACTTTCTTGCTCCCAAACCTTTCCAAACAACGCAGTCAGTTCCTTAGCCAGAAAGTCACCACCATCTTTAAAAAGAGCCGGAGGTAAGTCATCTGGGCCAGGTGATTTATAACGTTTCAAGAGTTGGAGTTCCTTGAGGACTTCCGCCTCGTTTGGTGGATCAGTCGTCACCGGCCATGGGGGGGGGCAGGACAAGCTGGTTGTTGTTGCACCTACGATCACTAAATAGGATGTAACAAAATAGTCACAAAAATCAATTGTTTTTGAGTTAAATTAACGCGCGAAATCTACTATCTTTAAAATCATATAGTTGGATAAATCAGATTTATGAAAACTAATTTTCTGATTAGTTTATTCACTTTGGTATAATAACGAGCTATCATTTGCAGATAAAAGAACACTACGTAGTAATAATAATATTATTATTATTGATTAATAGTAATAATAATATGCCATTAATATGTTACCATGTTGTGCGAACACGTTACTTTTGGTGGAGATTCGTTTGCTGAACTAGAAGGCTTAATCGTGAACCTCTTCATTGTCTTTCTGAACAATACTATCGACAAAAACTTCAAATAGAAGTGAACTATTCCAATTTTTCCTCATAGCACTAATAGCTTATCATATCGACTTACATCTTGATAGGTTTTATATATGTAGATAAAATGACCGGATACAGTGCGACAGCGACCAATCACGATCAACAGGACAAACTTTCAGTAACATCTTTAAAAATTCCGAATAGCACGCTTCCACCTGAAGCTTTAGCCGATGATGCTGTCAAGAGGGACAATGAAAACTTCGTGATTCAACCTCCTAGTTCATAGAACGAAACCACAAAACCCATTCATTTGAGCTACAAATTTTCACCATCTCAAAGCAAATTAATATAACTTAGTTGGACTACAGTTTGCATGTTTCGTCTTAATAAAACAGGTGAGATAATTTGTATGAACAGAAAAATAAAGAGGCCATGAAGAACAAGGGAAGTTATTTTCGGGAACATTATTCCACTTAATTCAACGTTTGTAAAATACTTACATTTAGTTTTCGCCCAGGTGATTCTACGAATCACAAGCTTTCGTTTGATTCATGATTTATTGTTATATCCTTTTCTGTTTCAAAGCTATTGTGATAAGAACATAACCTTTTGGGCTCCTTTTTTTTACTTAAATGCCGTAGTTTGGATACACTTGTATTTTCCTAATTGTTTGTGCGATGAGGTTGTGTTAGTCATGTTTATTCAGATTTCTTATTACATTAAGCTGAATCAAGAATAAATCGAGTGGTATTCCAGTTGACTCGTCTTCTCTCTCGCTTACCAACCAATCAGATGAGAGAAAAGTTTTTGCCTCTCCACCCTAAGTCATGAGCCTCGATTCGGACCCACACATTTCTAGCTAGAAGGTCGAACCAGTTAGCCTATCATGTCAACGATTAAACCTAGATCGAGACGAGCTTTCTCTGGTATATTATTGGGTAAACAGATCAAGAATGTAACAATTATTTTCCACAAACAAATAATGATATTTGAAACATAGTTGATACCGAAACGCTTGGATTACGAATACATAATGATATGGGCCAATGAATTTTTGATCATGAGTGGAACAACTAATTTAAGTAGTATAGAAGATACTAAGATATTCAGAAAAAGTCCCCAGTCTTCTGATCGCTTATTATTAACAATCCATGAAGGACTGTAGGGAGTAAATTTCGTTTACTACAACCAACTACTTATTCATCAGAAGGCACAGAAAAGAATGAAATTCGACCACACTGTCACGAAGAATATTTACTTCAGAAATATCTTACCCACGACCCATACATCCAAGGCGATTGCATACGTCACGTGCTAACAAGCCTTCCAACAGGGACCGCATTTCACAGGACATACCATCTGGAATATCGAGACTCTGAAAAATTTTGTAAATTAGTGAAAAAAATTTATTGAAATCATACTACAAACAAAATAATACAAAATTTATTCATTGAATACATCTAGACACCACAATATTACTTGAGCGTTGATCATTTGGATTATTTTGATAATTTCCCGTGCTTTTACTGAATTAATCATTTTAGACTTACAAAATTAATAATTGGGTTACCCTGTTTACAAAATTTCGCAGACAATGATGGTCGAATACACATGATTTATGCTGTTTTTCCTTCTATGACAATAATATCTCACAGTCATAGAACACCGCAGAACTGACTGCTGTAAAGTATACTGCATCGACGGACGCAATAGGATAATTTATTAAGAATGATAAATTACTGCACTCCAACCAGGCTCTGTGTGAATAGATATGTAGTGTTACTAGCTTTCACACACAAAGTGTGACCCGGACAGAGTATATTCTATGCTTCTCAAACTACCATTGACCGTTTGAATCATTCCGTTCTTCCTGAAAACCTGGACTGATATTATTTTGTTCATAGTTATATGATAACAAGTTTGTTCATTTAATCTTCCATCTCTTTAATACCATAAAGAGCATATTTTGAAAGTAACCACTTGGAATTCATTAAAAAATAACCATCAAGGAAACTCCTCTATAGCACAAAGCTTACCATGGTCATTGTCATCCTGTCAATCTCATGTTTATCCTTTGTCTTGTGATGTCGGAACGGACTATGACCTCTTAACAACTTGTATAACATGCATCCAAGTGAAAACCAATCAGCTGAAGAATCATATGGACAACCTTTTAACAATACCTCAGGAGCCATGTAACCATGAGTCCCAACGCTGGCATGAGGTTTCCGACGTGAAAAATCACAGGCTAATCCCAAATCACTGATTCGAACATGACCATATTCGTCCAAAAGTATGTTTGCAGGCTATTTTTTTCGAGGGAGAAAAAAAAGCAAGGAGTAGGAATAAAATTCAAACAAACTACAATTAAAAGAGATCATCTACTTAGAACAACAAAACTCTACCTGGCAAGCACCACTCGAAACCGATTCAAAGTTTAGAAGTATCTTTCAATAGTCTGAATATTTGTCAAATGTATGATTCGTGAAGATAAAAGTTAACCGGTGCCAAGTGTGATCAAAATTTCGCCTAACACGAAGACCGTAAACAAGATTTCTACCTCAAAAAACTCTTTGACACTTTATACTATGACTTTAGTTGAAGTAATATACCTAACTTACAGTAATTTGCAAATTAAAGTACAAAGCATTTCATTATAAACGAAATATTTAAATTCCAACACCTGATATGTCGTAAGTGGAATCAGAGACGTCATTCATGTTAACCTTTGAGCACTACGCGCAATAAAAACTGTCATGTTTCAACGGTAAAGAAGGATAACCCAATCATAAAATCATAATATCTTGTAGTCATTATCAGACAATCAAAAGTGAATCTATTGGAGATGCTAAGTCCCAGACCAAATGCAACATACAGAAAAAATCAATTTTAAAATACACACTGATTTAAAGTGAATTTCGTTTTTGACTTCCGTATTATTTATTCTAAACTGATTTTTACCGATTGACTTTACGTGAATTTCCAATCGCTTTCGTTCACTATGAAATTAATTATTTGATTTTAATACATTTTCCGTTGTATTCATCAATTTACTATGACTTTATGCTTAAGTGACAATTCTTTAGTTTGATAAATTTTGTAATTGATAGTCATTGAACAATCGATATGTAATCGAATGAACTTGAATGTAAATTAATTATTCTGGGATCTTCACCAATACATCTTTTCTTCTCTCTATTTCATCGTGCGGGTGATTGTCATTTAAGTGTTGCGTATTAATTGTCCAGCGTATTCATGTCTTAAAAGATCCGTTTTATAATGGAAGAAACTAATAACTCACCGATAATCAGAAATACCGGACCTAAACTCAAGTCAAAGCTGATTCATAAATTCCCTTGATGCCGTTGTATTTAAAAATAACTACAATAATAGAGAGTAACCTTCATGTAAAGGTTAAAAAGATAACATTTATAAGAATTCTATCCGGATTCCACTCTAAGAATTTGAATAGAAATATACCAATACACCATTTATCACTCATATTGTGAATAACTGTGGTTATTGAAGTGGAATATATAACTAGATAGTAATAGAACTTCAGCAACACAATCATTGGAACATTTTATTCAACATTCAGAACAAAAGCAAACCGAAGCTAGCCTTCAGGTTTTTAAGGCTGAAACAGCCTACTAACTACATCATTTTTTTCTCGTCAAAACAACTCCATCTTCAGTGTGACAGTATTTAGTTCTTATATCCTTAAATAAAAGTTTTAGTAAAAGGAAAATAGGTATCCAAACGGTAAAAGTCTAAAATATCAAGTTGGTATAATTACCTTCAAATCGCGATATACAATGAAACGATTATGCATATGCTCCAAACCCAATATAACTTCAGCTGCATAAAAACGTACTTCTGATTCGGAGAAGATATTATGCTGAGTAAGATGATAATGTAAATCACCACCATTCATTAAATCTAATATAAAGCATAATTTTTCTGGGGTCTGAAAGGCGTACGTCATACAAACTATAAAAGGACAACCATCCTATATTTTTAGAAAAAGAGAAAATGAAAACTTGGGTGAACACAAAACTCTGAGCAAATAAAATTGATGCCCCAACCAGCGTACCATTAAAGGCAACCACGTAATGCAAAAACAAGCCAAGTCCAGATGGAATACATATATTTACTTGGCGAAAAGACAGATAGCTTATGAAATACATACATCTAGCTTTCAATCCTTCGTTTGCTTCTAATGTGTGTTCCGCAACGCAAGCTTGTTTTAAACTGTCTTCTATAGCATTTCTTCTGCTCTCACAAATATCCAACATTCTCCGTGCTTTTGCCTTTCTGAGACTCCTATCTTCAGCTATCGACTGTAGCAACTCTCATGCAACGTTCCACTGCATACTACTTATAAGAAATCTTGTGAGTGATGTCAACTACCACCTTATTAAGATGATCTTTCGAGAGGAAAATTATGTAATCTCAGTGAATTCTAACGTCAAAAGAAAGCTTTAATGTACACCGACTGATTTATATATTTACATAAAATCGAAAAATATCCAGTTTAAGTAATTAGAGCTGTAACCATCCATACCTAAACATCTCTCTTTGCTGCAAAGATAATGAAAATTTAATTCAATCTTATTTCAGTGTAACTGATTGATACCAAATATTGAACCTTCGAAGTGATTTTTTGTATTCTGTAACATACATTATAAAGTAGAGAATGATTGCTTTTATACAGCTTACATTTGAAGGATGAAAGAAACAATCCCAATTTATGTACGCAGAAAATGGTTGTGCAATTCAACCCTGTCGCCATTTGAAATAACGTGAAATTTTTCTAAATCGATTTCCCTACCACTCTCATTTGCTTGTCTATTCTAAGTTTTTATTTACCTAAAAACTGATTCAGTAACGTTATAACTCCGGTTCTTTTGAGTATGAATAAATTTCGAATGTTCAGTTTACCACTTTGCTTTAACACGTTATTATTTTATTGTGTCGTTGTTTTCGCCGTCACTTCAAATAATGATTGACTCGGTAGAAAAACAATATGGATTTGCTGGAATAAAGTCTAGTGGTAAAAAACTAGCACTCTCTATTCAAATGTAACATTGCCATCATTACAGCGGGATAATTTTTTAGGAAAACTCTAAATTCAGTATTAAACAATCAAACGTGTTTGTGAAAATGGGAGTCCTGAAATCAAATTGAAATACTTAATAATATATGCCGTATAAACACAGTGTAAATTACTGAGAGTATTTAGGTTGTCCTACATCAGTCAGTCAGTCACAACGTAGAACTTCGTACGTATGTACATCAGTTCGAGTTGCCATACCACATTAGCACAGAGATGCAGTTGTCGATTCAAATCCCATAGTGGTAGAAGTAGTAGGAGTATAATCAGAAATTCAAAAGATTAGGGTTTGAAGAAATTATTGAAGGAGTATAGTACAGTGAAATAAATTTGGAAAGAGAAAAAAATAAAGACATGAGGAATTCAGAAGATTAGAATTTGGTAGAACACAAAGAGTGGATGCATCTTCGCCATTGCAAACGATTTTGAGCCATGTCATTCAAGGTCTCTAACCATCGGTTGCTGTCATCTCGCGAATCCCAACCAGGTAGTCTACACCTACCAACATGGCCCAGTCCACTTGTCAGTGACTTCATTGTCTGGCCACCCCTAGCTTTCTTCCAACCTACTCCTACACCATGAAACATTGCACGTCGGGGCAGTCGGTGGTCGGGCATACGTAACACATGTCCCAGCCATCTCAACTGATGAAGTTTCACTACTTCATCAATCGATTTGCCATCCCTACCTAGTACTCGTTTCCTAACAACTGCATTACTTACCCGGTGGTCCCAGGATATACGAGCAATGCTTCGAAGACACCTATGATCGAACACTAGTAGCCTACGAATATCCTCTACTCTTATTGGCCATGTTTCACTGCCATAGAGTAGGACGGAGCGAACTGCTGCACAGTAAACCCGTCCTTTGGTTGCTAGACGGATATCTCGTCTACGCCATAAATGGCGCAAGTTGGCGAAAGCTAGACGAGCCTTCTGTATCCGTGCTGAGATTTCGTCACATACCAGACCACAAGGGCTGATGAGACTCCCAAGATAAGTGAAGTGGTCTACACGCTCAACTACTTCACTCCCTATCATTAGTTCAGGTGCCGATACAACCCAATCCTGAAGTAACATTTTGCACTTCGAGGGAGAGAATCGCATCCCGAACATGCCTGCATAGTTGCTTATAGTGATCAGAAGACTCTGCATGTTGTCAGCGTCTTCACCGAGTAAAACTATGTCGTCGGCGTATTCTAAGTCAACAAGTGAGCCTCCTGGTAAAAGTTCAACTCCTGGAGGTTTAGCTGATGAAAGTGCTATCTCTAAAAGTAAGTCAATGACAAAGTTAAACAAGAATGGGGAGAGTGGACAGCCCTGACGAACGCCACTTGTGGTAATCAGTTCTGATGACAGTTCGCCATAGGCTCTAACTCGACCAGTTGTGCTCGAGTAGAGAGCCTTTATGAGGTTAATGTACTTCTTTGGTACTCCTTTCAGTGACAAACATTGCCATAGAACCTCACGATCAACAGAGTCAAATGCCGCCTTAAGGTCAAGAAATACTACTATTGTGGGACGTCTGAATTTGTGTCTATGTTCTAGAACCTGACGTAGGGTGAATATCTGGTCTATGCAACCACGTCCAGGTCGAAAACCAGCTTGGTTTTCTCTAGTCTGCTCTTCACGAGCTTTGGTTAGGCGACCTAGTATTATTGAAGCTAATATTTTAGACACTATATTAGTCAAACTGATCCCTCTGTGATTGTCACAAGAGGACTTTTGTCCTTTCTTATAGACTGGCACAATCAGTGATTGGGACCAGTCAGATGGAATTACGTCCAGTTCCCAGATTCTACCTAAGACCTCAGTCAATCTCACTGCTAGTACTGGACCACCATCCTTAAAAATCTCAGGGGTCAACCTGTCAGGGCCCGCTGCTCTCCCTCGCTTCAGATTTCCTATAGCTTTTTCAACCTCACAGAGGGTTGGAGGACTTACATCAATTTGCCATTCAGGACGACTGGGGATCGTGGGTAATTGAAGTGTGGCTGAAGGCCAGTTGAACTGATCCCTAAAGTGTTCTGCCCATCGATCCAACCTCCTGGATTGAGAATGAATAATATGCCCATCTTTATCTGAGATGGTTTCACTGATATTCGGGTTGTCCTACATACAAGTAACTATTTCATAGTCAATTATTACAAAGAGTATAAATTTGACTAAGTATGCAGCTGTAAACATCTGATTGTCAGAACGAGTAACCAACATGTTCAAACAATAACGGATCACAAAGTTCAGAGAAATTGTGTTTGTCATAAGTGTAATCTATTGAAAATACATTACAAAATCTCGAGAGATTCCAGATTGAATCAGTTTGCCCACAGTATAAAGCCTCAGAGAATACGATATGTAACCTACACGCTTAAATACAAAGTTTGGACGACAAATAAAAGTCGGTAATAACGACCATACACATGAGGTCACTTATTTTTTGATGTAGGACTAATGGGTCGAATAGAGCAGGAAGTCAGGATCCCTAACTATGGTTTTAAGACTTTTTTGATAAAAACAGCTTGATTAATTTTGTGGTTATTACACAAAATAATGTCTCGATCAATGGGTCTATAATTAGCAAATCACTCAGTAGATACTAGTGATTTATATTAACGATGAAGATGAGTTACTACTTCAAGTCTAGGAGTAGATACACATGAAACTAAAGATACATCCTACGTAATAATATACCTACAAATATCTTTAAGGTTTAGACTGTTAAGTTGACTTTAAAGCTCGAATCGTGCCTACGCAGTCACCTTCACATCTCTGATAACTCAGTGCAAATGCCATTATAACCATAAAAGTAAAAAAAAGTTATTCCAGACCAGTAGAATACGAAAATGACATGATTTTATTTAATGAAGACTGAGACATTATGAAGTCTCTTGAACAGTCTGAGTAACCGTGTAAACATTTTTGGGATGCATTTCTTTACTTCTAAATCCAAAATGTTGATTAGTGATCGGTTTGCATCAACACCCAGAGTGATCATAGGAAGTGACGTTGTTATGACCCATCTTCGGCTACACAAATAGATATCACAACAAAATAGTGAACCTGTTAGTGGGATATAGATTGGATTAAAGCATGTCCCGTGCAGGACTGTGTTGAGGGCACGCTGATTGGCTGTTTCTTGACCAATCAGCGCTAGCAGATACTTGGAGAAGACTCTAGAATCGTCTAAAAAACACCAAATATACTAATATTTTTCTTATCGTGACTTCTACTTTTATTCAACCTTGTTTATCTGGAATATAACTGCGTTCCTGTTCGACCGTGTACTGATTTGGGGACTTTTTGAGTGAAGTAGTGTCCATGAATGCTAGACAATAAGAGAAGCTGGGTTGTAATAAGGGAACTCATAACAGAACCCAACGCGAAATACTTTTCAACCGAACTTGTATAATCAACTCAATAACTCTTGACCTAGCCCCTTACTACTAAAAGTGAAACCCAAAAAATTGTTCTCGAAATATATTATGGGGGTGGGAGTCTGGATATTTAAAAAATTTTACTGTGACCTACAGAATCACGCAATCAAGATATGGATTTGATAGCTCCTGATTTAACAGCACGTCGTGGGTTTCAAAGTTCAAGTGGATACTGTTACTGCTCCATTTTTTGGCTGATTCGAGTAGTTTTTGGAGAATAATGGACTTTCCAACAAGTTCCCTTTTGAAGTTAGTCGTACTTGAACTTGTGTAGGTTTTACCGGATGTCCTTTCCTATTAATGCACCTTCATAGTAAGAGCGATCTCCACAAGTATTTGATCGTAAGTACTTTCGAAACATCGGTTGCGTATAGTGGAACAACTACATGATCACTATTGAGTAATCCTAATAAAAAGTGCTGGACTAAGATGGAAAATCGGCTTATGTCACCGTGAATATTTATCGAATGAGATGGTTGGGACAAATGTTACATATTCCTAACCACTGAAAACATCGACACCCAATGTGAGCTGGAGTAGAAATGGGTTAAAAGATCAGGAGGACCGAAATAAAGTATGACATCAGTTTGTGAAGTCAGTGACTGTCAAACTGAGCTGTGTAGGTAGCATTAGACTACTTGGTTCGGATCCTCGTGATCATCGTAACCGGTGGTTGGAGTTGCTGAGTGATATATTTCAAAATAAGTTACAATAGTGCGGATTCAGTAACTCATTACCCCTCCTAAGTCGTAAGCTCCAATTTTATTGCTTTAAATCCATCCTGCCTTTGAGAACTTTAATTTCTTTGTCACTGATACTAGTCATGTTGTTAATTTTACTGTGCTAATATGATATGGCAACTTGAGCTGAAGCATTTTTCAGATTCTACGTTGATTATGGCTGAATTAAAATAAACACCAATGCTCAAAGATATGTGAACTGAAAGTTTCACTTTGTTTATGGCTACTCGCGAACCGAAACACATTATACTGACATAAAAAAGCGATAATAAAGAACGAATACTCACTCCAGTACTAACAAGTGAAAGCATGACACGTTCATTGAGGGCCAAAGTCTCTCCCCCCTTCATTTTGATCCTTTTTTTGTCCAGACATTTCATAGCATACCTACATAAAATGTTCACATGATCAGTCAGCCAAGACCAAATCAAATAAACAGCGTAAAACTCACTAAAACATTTCGTTTATAGCTTATTTATAATACGTATAAGAACCGAAGATTAATACTAAGGGGTACTTTTCTCATAATGTTTGTGGTCAACCAATAACCTAAAGTTGTCGTTTACTTTTATTGTAATTTTTTTGAATAATAAGCACAAAGAATTTTCGATGCTAACAACGATTGATGTTTAACGTATGACACCAGGGTTAACAACTTTTCAGAAGGAATTGCACAATTTGGTGGTCGATAATAGAGTAGGCAACCAAGAAATTCGATCTTGAAAAAAAATACAAATATTATACAAAACCTATTTATCAATAAAATTTACTAGGCTATGTGTTTATCACCAACCTCATGAAATTCAACAAATAATACGTTGAAGTAAATATACCTTAATAGGATTGATAGACTAATATTAGATTAAATATGCTAGGTAAAGAAGGTAACACGAGTTTTTGTTGGCTGAAGTGGTTTAAATATGCATTATATATATGCAACTACCTGTAGTTGGAGTAGAAGCGGGATTATTTATTTATTTATTTAAACACATAAACATTGGTACAAGGAAACACCAAATACATATGCGCCACATAAATCATTCGACTTGTGTGAAGGCTGGGATACTGCCCGGGTGCACAGACTGAAGCAGGTGGTTTTCTTAGGTGGCTACAACCCGAGCCTTTGACTTAAAGGTTTAGTCCACAAGGCAGTGGAGCGACTTAAGGAGATGCAGTTCCATGATAACTGGTGACCATTAATTGGTTCATACACCATTTGTTCCCTCAGGATTCTGGAGCCCATATGCACCATTGATTTGGAATCAGGGTTTTTCAACTCCCCTAGGTGAACTTTCCGTGTCCACCAACCCGGTTAAGGGGCCGAACATTCGCTTTTCATCTTCTCAATTTCGTAAACAACATCCCCGCCACGAGAAGGCAGTGAGCAGGACTTCCACGGCAGTGGTTGTATGCACGTGGCCATGTGAGAGCACTTCGAGGGGGAAAGCTAACTCTCCCCACTCTCGGCCGTACCAGGGCATTTGGGGGCAGAAGCGGGATACCAACGGAATATTGTTTCTCCGTATACTTTCAATAAATAGAATTATGTAAAACTAGAAACGAGAAGAAACTAGAGTCTGAAAGAACACCATCAACAGAGAAAGTAATTGAAGTTTCCCATTAGGTATGGAGATCATATATAGTCGCGTCGAATAAAAGTAAAGTGGCGTATAACCAAGTAACAAGTTAAGTGGTACGAAGTAAATGCTAATTTGTCTATTAGTAAGTAATTAACTGTTACGCTATTTTTACAGCAAATTTTATGTCAGCCTATACTAAGTTAGAATGAATATTACAAATATGATTCGATAGATATTCAGTCGATGCCACCTCAACATATTGCTCCGATTCGAGTTCATAAGAGTGAAACGAAGACATTTCTTCCGTACACTCGTCAGCGTTTATACACATCTAAGTTTAAATTAGGATACAATCGGTGTTTGAGATTAAATTAAAGATGTAATCCTCTATAGATCCTGACATTCTGCAAGGATGCGATCGTCTGAATCACCGCAGTATATCGAACGGACCTGTAAACAGATAACATAGAACACCTGAAGCATCTTATCCACTTACCACATACGGGAGCTACATTAAAATTCTCTGCCATATTTTAGATAATATGCCATGAAAAGTAACAATTAATGTATTCGTTTCCTCAGCAATGCATGAATTTAATAACCAGTATGTACTTACATTTTACCAGTGTCTGCTTTTCGGCATCCATAAACCTCCCCAAAACCACCACGGCCAATAATACGATGTACGCTAAAATCGTTTGTGGTTAACTAATAATATCAAATAATTGGGACTAATTAGTTAATATAATCATACGTTAATATTTAACTCCAAATCCTTCCATTGACAAAATCGAGTGAATTTATTACTGTTAACAAAGATAGAGCAACGAGTAAATAAAGGAATGATAATCTACCTTCTAAGAAAATTGTCAAATACATCACCACGAAGGGACTGTAGGATTTCATCTTCATACAACTAAAAAATCAGAACAATTAAATGTAAAATCATACAGAAAATGTATCTGCTGGTAGCTTTTTAGTCTTTTGAGATACAGTGAGTAGTTCATGGACATGATCCACAGTTGATTTAGAGAATTTCTGGCAAAATTGAAAGTTACTTAAATAGACAAACAAACGTGGTTATGAGATAAAAGTTCTTTCATAATGTGTTGATCATATATTTCCCGGCCAAATTTAATACGCTCTTCATCTGTGTCTAACTTTTCAAACTTTTTAATCTAGAGATTATAAAAAATAAATACACTATATACTTCTTACATTTTCGTAAAACGTAAGCTGAGGAACAGGTTCTTCACTTACATTGAGAACGAAATCCCGAAACAACAAGTAACCTTAAATGGGAAAGAGATCTTAGCTACATCGTGGTCAGTTTACATACCTAGCTTCTCGTTGAAAATTTTATCGAAGGTCATTTGGTTGTTCTTTTCCAAATACTTGGTCATGATACCACGAATGCTGAAAATATGAAAAAACTCTTGAATGAGATGAAATAGTGAAATCTATGTATAAAGATTTACAATATCGACATGTTTAAAATGAATTGTTGTGGCTGGAAAACGTTCCACTGTTGAGCAATATTTTAACAAAGATTAAGTGGACAAATGACACTTAGATGACCAATGGCTTTCAGCTTCATACCGACACTTTTAATAGTAAGAATTTAACCTAAAAGAACGAGGACTTGCCAATGTGAAATTAATAGCCTCAACTGTAAAACACTTCCTTGTAAGAATAAATAAAACATAAAAACTGATTTTAATGTGCCAGGGTAACGTCATTTTAGTGACCATCAACTATTTACGAATAACTGGCACAAAACGTCTGATAATGACAGATCTAGGAAAAATAGTTGGAACATAATTTCTTCGGTCCTTTATGAATCTCCCAGCAATAGAAACGTCTACACATTGCCCGGAAGTTGTTGTCCGTATTGTAGATATTTTTGCCAACAGAATGACAAGCGAACACGACATAGCAATACTGATTTGTAAACATTCTCAAAACCATTTGAGCGGAGAGAAGTTTGGATTGAGATATTAATGAAACTGTTATAACTTGCGGTTTGTGTACCGATTAATACATGACGTGACGATGCTGCCAATGAGAAAGCAGTGAATTATCGATAGGAACAATGACACATGAAACCCGTACGAGCAGTCTAGAGTACTTGTCGGTCCTCCTTTCTGCCTAGCCCAGTCAGTTAAGTCCAGAACAGCCTCTGCAGTATGAATCATTATATTTCAAACGTACTGAGTTTATATACCAATCAAACTGACCACATCGTACCATAAAATAGAAAATAACATAGGTACAAGATTCAGTTAAATGTGGCTGTGAATAAGGGAGATAGTAAATGATAGACAGGGCATAATTCAAGAATCGTAAACCATATAACAATAGTTTACAGTTCAAAATAAAGCTTATAATAAGGGGGACACGAATATGAATATTTTAGTTATTTGAAAATTATACGATAAAAATTATGTGCATAGTATTGGTCCATAAATGAATCCCAAAGTTATCAGTTACTATTGTTGTCGGCACACAACAGAAACATTATGAATCTTATCCTCTCAAACAATGAAGTAAACAGAAGTACCTAATATCCTATATGTTGTTGGGCATAAATAAAATGACTGCTTCCACTCAATAAACATAACAGTTTATTACGTAGAGGTTGTTATGTCATAACTCAATTTCATAGAGCTTAACATTTTAGAAACTATCAAGTCATTTGTGTAACCTCTTTTCGTGTATCTTAATCAAAGTTTTTAAAACTTGTCCACATAGATGAAATGATAATATTGTAAAATAAATAGGAGAGTAGTAAAGCCAATAAGTAAGTGGGCAACGATAACAGCAGTTAACATAAAAATGGTCATGAAAAGGCTCCCGATCACCACAAGCTGCCCTAGCTTTCACTTACATAGACCGATCTTAGACTATTATGAGTACTTATACAACTACTGATGTACAAACTTTATATTACTTAAAACAGTTCACTACAAAGCGTGGGTGCAGTCACAGGCTCCTGCTAGTTCTCCAGAAGAATTTTGGATTTCGAAAAGGAAAATATTGTACTAACGGATACTTATTATCAACTGAATAAGTGGAATTTGGGTAGCCTGTGTATAATCAGGCGGTACAACAACGTGGTTGAGGTAAAAACGTCCTCCAGGTAAAATTCACAAACCACATACCTACTTTGGAACTACAAATGATGAGGTTTTTCAAACCTATCAGGCCCCACTATTGCAATGTGATAAAGGAGACAGGTGACTATGTACTTTCCTTCCACCTGTTAGTTAGTCATAACGCAGGACCTTGTGTGTACATCGGTCTAAGTTGCCATACTATATTAGCACAGCGGAAGTTGTTAGGCCAAATTCTAGAATAGTGGATGTAGTAAGAGAATTAACGGTAGTGAGAAAGATCATGCATCGGAGATCAGAAAAAATATAAATTAGTGTAATAAAAACAAACAAAAAAGGTAATGAGGAACTTATAGTCTCAATTTGAGGGAAGACAAAGAACAGATGGACCTGAACTATTGAAAACGATTTTGAGTCATGTCATTCAGTCTCTAACCATTGGTTACGATAATCAAACGGACCTCAACCAGGTAATCTACACCCATGAACATGGCTAAGTCTAGTTGTCAGTGACAACACGGACTGATGCCACGTTTTAGTTTGGCCGCCCCTAGCTTTCAGTCTATTCCTACACCAGGAAGCCGCCTGTCAAAGTAGGAGGTGGTTGGGAATACGCAACATGTCCTAACCACCTCAATTGATGAAGACTCACTACTTCATTAATCTAATTGTTATCCTTACCTATTACTCAATTTCTAACCCGGGTAAAAAAATGATACACATTGATCATAAAGATACGTAGTACGAAGAGCAAGGCGTACTAGTAGTAAAATATATAACTAAATTCTAAGACACGTATTTCGTAGTCTACAATGATAATATCCAGTTGTTTAGACTTTAGTAAGTGGAAAGGGATCGGAAACTGTGACCACGTTGAAATAGGGTACTGCAAACTCGTATTTTCTAGCGGGTGATTCAAACTGTTCGCAAATTTTGATATGATTTAGTCTGCTTCCTGTGTCAAACACATCCCATATGTTTATGGATTACAAAAGTATTACGTGTTCAAAATGCACTTATTTTTAAACTCAAAATCTATATGAAGAGCAAAAATTTCCATTTTCGCAGTAAAAAGTATTTGACTTAAAAAAAGATCATTGAAAGCTAAGATTTATCGAATTTCTGATGATTTATTGGCCATAAGCTAACCTCGAAAGGTGTATTTCTGAGTTAGGTTTAGATTGGAGAAGTTAAATTTATTTAATATAAATAATGATATCATCACAAGTTGTTATACTCTCTGTTGCAATACAGAAAATATATATTCGTATAACATGCGAGCTCTAAGTGATGTGGGTAACAGGATTATTAAATTGATTTTCTATGAATTTTCCAAAGGTTTGATGACTAATTAAAGTATTTGCGAACGATTGGCACCAGAGGTGTAGAACTTTACAACCTAAAAACAAAAGCTTCGATGCGGGCTTCCGGGCGGTATCCCAGTCCTCACACAAATTGGACGAAGCATGGGGCACATATATTTGATCCCTCCTTGCACCAATGTTTGCGTTTAAACAAATAAATAAATAATCAGAGCAAACTTTACATACTTGAATAACAAATTATAACTTAGTAAATACTCTTACTCCAAAAAGTCACTAACTGTACTGTTCCTAAAGTATGCTTCAACACTATAATTATTTAGCATCATGTCCTACGTTTCATATTCATAACTGAATGGGATCAAGTTTAATACAAAATATGTGATACGTGACTCCAAGTAGCAGGTACATAGAATTGTAAAGTGGTGACATCTTACACTCATTTATTTATTTGAACAGAAATATTGGTACAAAGAGGCATCGAATACATATGCGTCACACAAACCACTTGATGTGTGTTTGTGGGTTGTGATACTGCCCGGGTGCCCAGACCATAATCATAACATGAAGTTGAAGTTATTATTCTCCTACACAGGTCTTGGTACTAGACCCTAACACGGTTACTGTAGCTCAAGTCAAATTATCAGGCCAGTAAGTAGTTGTAATTATACACACCTTTAGCTTCTTATGGAAGGATCCTATTACTTTTAATTTGTTATCTACTTCGGCACGAACAGAATTGTTCAATGCAAATTGGAAGGCATGACTTCGTGCTTGATTACCACGTTGTACCAAATGGCTACATTTTATTCACTCCATTACTGCTTGCTTTCAACATCAATTAAAACCCCAACTATGTGCTTGTGTTTTGTGAAAACGAAACATGTTCCCCACATAGTAGAGACAAAACATGGAAATTTCGCCAGTGCTATGTATTGCTTTAAGCAAAACCTATACAGCTCCATTTATGGTAGTTGATACGGAATGACAAAAACAGTAACACATTCCATGCGAAGTTTATAGATCCAGAATCGTTTTATGAGGTTATTACAGTCCCACCGGTGATCTCGGAGATTACATCTGAATCTTATGCTTTCAAACTATGGATATTCTATGGTCACAGATTTGCACCAACGAAGAGTAAGTAGTCAAGGAAAGCAAGTCAATTTTAGGGTAACCTAGTAGATTTTAGTGCCGAAGACGTAGGGTAGTGTTAATTAACACTCAGACAAACATTTTGAATCCGGGCAATGCGGAAATGGGCAAAAACGAGACAGCTTAGTTTTCCTGCACACAAAACAACTTTCTGTAAAATGGTGTCATGTCGATCATTTATATTATATAACTGATTTGAGATGTCCTATCCGTTGACAAAAGTGAATATGTCGGAATAAAACAACCAACAGACTGTAAGACAAAAACAAAAAAATAAATCACCTGGGGTCCGGTAATGTAATTCTTTTGCTCGCACGAGCCGCTGGAGTAGATTTACTCATCTCCATAGCCATCAAATAGCTGACATCCGCTAGCACAGCTTCTAAATCAGCCATCTCCTCGAAAAAATCAAGCTTTTATAAGACCTATATCCAGTAAGTATGCTCCAATGAATAAAAGTCCAACTAAGTTATCGTAAACATAAGTCTAGTTTCTCATAAACAGCCATCATTAAGGCGCTCATACATCGCGGTATTCTAAAATAGGTGGAAAAACAAAATATGTATGACAGACTACTAATAAATGAAGAAAGTTGAAATCCTAAAAGTTCATCGTGTTGCAGGGTTTTGACTCCTTTTTGAAAGTATCGAGAGAAAGTAGTTACACTGAACTGTATTAGTGCGCGACAGGAAGTTTAGGGCATGGTCGAAAAGTCATGTCATTGATTCTCGCTTATGTGTTACATGTTGTCGCGGATTTCTAACGTCGTTTTTTGTCGGCTAATCACAGTATTTTTCCGTCACATGTTAATTTTTGTAATATTTATGCGTTTTACATGGCGTTTATTGCAGTCTATTGGTTGCCTGACGTATTTGGAGCTGACAACCTGGATGAATGTTTAGTCAGCCTAACTTGGTAATTTGTAACAACGCAAACTCAGGCAAGCGAAATTCATCGTTTATCAAGTCAAAAATACACCAAAATTACAGTTTCAAGCAAAAACAAGCTGTAGAATAATTTACATATGACTTACCTCCCTTATTATGGTAGTGACTCAAACAACCAATAAAGTGGAAATAAAAGCGAAAAAAGGGGGAATAAAGCGGACGAAAGCGTAAATAAAGGGGAAATGTCGCTTTTTTGCCTGCACGTGAGGGACAGATTTGTAAGCACACAACATGATTTTTATCCTTCATTCCTATTACAGATGGCCATGTTGACGCGTTTAATGAATGATGATCCTAAAACCTCCATGCGATATCTTCTGTCCTACATCATGGAACCTGAAGTCGCCATTAATTTCACGTTACTTGGTACTTCATCAAAACGAGCGATTCAGAAGTGCCGGTTTTATGGCTGCGTACGAAGTAAGATAAATAAGGTTTTTAAACTTCAGGTGCACTTACTAATCGATCCCTGTCGTCATCTGTCACTGAGAAAGACCTTGTGAAACTATATGACATGGCTACGCAAAGTTATTTTCACGACATAAGAGACAAAGTACAGAAGAGTCATCGACGGAAGAAAGAACACGTACGTACGACTTTAAAGTGATTATTGTTTTCCCGTTATCTATAGGTAGAGTCTTCCGTGTTTAAGAATATAACCGTAAGTTCAGCTTCAAGTACCTTGTTGTGCAAAACAAGTTTCCTAGATATAGTAACGTTCTTCTTCATTACATTTTAGAATTCACAAGAATTATTTGAGTCTCCATAGTTCAAAAGGCCTGATGGAAAGAAACAATACGTGAAATATCTGGTCCGTGACAATTGCAATTACATCAGGAACATTGATGCTCTACCATCTGCCAAGTGCTCATGACGTTGTACAATAATAAGCTTTTTGTTTTCAATAAAAATTTGGAACTTATACCATATATTACGTACATTACATTATTCGTGTGCTGTGTTGTGGGAATGAAGGTGAACACAGGAGGCGGTTGGGGTAAATACAGAAGCGTTTTAAAAGTGGGCGCTTAATTACATCGGTGTGCATGTAGTAGAAAAGTAGACAATTCGTCGGATATTTAGGGTGCGAATCGGAAATTCGTCGAATATTTAAGGTAAAGTCGGCAATTTAGCGACATTTGAAAAACAGAGCGACAGAAAGGGGAAATTTCGCTTTATTTCCCCTTTATTGGTTGTATGGAGATGAACGTGGGTGTTAGTAGTTGTTTATAAATTGTAATTGAGAGTCAAACTATTCATGAATCTTGTAATGGTAATAATAATCATTCCATGCGACGTTCCTAATGGAAGTTTGTTTTTCTATAGCAGGGCAACAAAGAGTAAACGCACTGGAAATAGAGGAAGAAGCCCTACGCGATCTGAACGAGCAGAACAATGAATAAAACTATTCTGTAGAAAGTTTCCCCTTTTGCACTCAACCGTGTCTTTCAATTTTAAAAATATATGTTGTACCAGTACATTTTATTCTTACTTTGACGGCACTTACCGGTCCTCACTGTAGTGTTGTTGTTTCAGATCGCTCCTGCTTCAAAGTGGACGTCAATATATAACGTGCTACATTACGACTTACTTACTTACTTACGCCTGTTACCCCTCGTCGAGGAGCATAGGCCGCTCACCAGCATTCTCCATCCAACTCTGTCCTGAGCCTTCCTTTCCAGTTCTTTCCAGTTGCTATTCATCCTTTTCATATCGGCTTCTATTTCCCGGCGTAGTGTGTTCTTTGGCCTTCCTCTTTTCCGCTTCCCTTCCGGATTCCAAGTTAGGGATTGAGTCGTGATGCACATTGGTGATTTCCTTAATGTATGTCCGATCCACTTCCAACGTCTTTTCCTTATTTCCTCTTCAGCTGGAAGCTGGTTTGTCCTCTATCATAAAACGCTGTTGCTGATAGTATCCGGCCAATGGATGTTGAGTATTTTGCGTAGACAACTGTTTATAAATACTTGTACCTTCCTGATGATGGCCGTAGTAGTTCTCCACGTTTCAGCTCCATACAGTAGGACTGTCTTGACGTTCGTATTAAAGATTCTGACCTTGAAATTGGTTGAGAGTTGTTTTGAGTTCCATATGTTCTGCAATTGTAGAAATGCTGCCCTTGCTTTGCCAATCCTTGCCTTTACATCTGCATCCGATCCTCCTTGTTTATCAACGATGCTCCCCAGGTACTTGAATGTTTCCACCTCTTCCAGAGTTTCGCCATCAGTTGTGATTGGGTCGGTGTTCTCCGTGTTGCATTTGAGAATCTTGCTTTTTCCTTTGTGAATGTGGAGGCCTATCGATGCGGAGGCTGCTGCTACATTTGCTGTCTTCATCTGCATTTGGTCGTGTGTATGAGAGAGGAGGGCTAGGTCATCTGCGAAGTCCAAATCATCTAATTGATTCTGAGAAGTCCATTGTATTCCGTATTTCCCTTCGGATGTCGAATTCGTCATAATCCAGTCAATCACTAGAAGGAAGAGAAATGGGGAGAGTAGACAGCCTTGTCTGACTCCGGTCCTTACTGGAAATGCATCTGTCAGCTGTCCTCCATGCACCACTTTGCACTGTAATCCGTCGTATGAGTTTTGGATAATGTTGACAATCTTTTCAGGAACTCCATAGTGTCGAAGAAGTTTCCATAATGTTCTCCTGTCCACGCTGTCAAATGCCTTCTCATAGTCAATAAAGTTGACGTATAGTGATGAGTTACACTCAACTGATTGTTTAACGATGATCCGTAGTGTCGCAATCTGGTCTGTGCACGACCGATCCTTACGGAATCCAGCCTGATGATCCCTAAGTTCGGCGTCTACTGCGTCTTTCATCCGATTCAGCAGCACTCTGTTGAAAAATTTTCCTGGTACTGATAACAAACTGATACCTCTGTAGTTCTCACATTGGCTCAGATCTCCTTTCTTTGGTATCTTGATGAGATATCCTTCTTTCCAGTCCGTTGGCACTTGTTCCTCTTCCCAAATCTTTTTGAATAGAAGGTGGAGCATGTTTGCAGTTATTTCAATGTCTGACTTCAGTGCTTCTGCTGGTATATTGTCAGGTCCTGCCGCCTTCCCACTTTTGATTTGTCTGATGGCCATCTTGACTTCTTCGATCGTTGGTGGAGTGACATCTATTGGAAGGTCTGTGTGGGCTGCTTCGATGTTCGGTGGATTCAATAGGGCTGGTCTATTCAGCAGTTCCTCAAAGTATTCTGCCCATCTTTTCCTCTGTTCTTGAATCTCAGTGATTGTCTTTCCTTCTTTGTCCTTGACTGGTCTCTCTGGTTTGCTATATCTCCCTGCCAATTTCTTCGTTGTATCATATAGTTGTTTCATATTCCCTGCTTGTCGGCTTTAATGCTTTTCTTCACTTCTCTGTTTGCTTCTGCGTAGTCTGCTTGTGCTTTGACTTTCTCTGCTCGTGTTCGGCTGTTGTTAATTGCTAATTTCTTGTTCTTCCTTTCTTGAAGTTTGTCCAGGGTCCCCATAGAGATCCATTCCTTGTGATGGTGCTTCTTAGGACCAAGAACCTCCTGACACGTTGAAGTTAGTGCTTCTTTTATCCCTTTCCAGTTGTCCTCCAAAGTAGTTTCTTGTTCTTTCAGTAGATCCTGTAGAGCTTGGAACCTGTTGTTGAGAGTTATCTTGAATTCATGGAGTTTGTCAGTATCTCGAAGGAAGGCTGTATTAAACCTTTGTAGTGCTGTTTGTCCAGTTGTCCAGTCTTTCTTTAGCTTCAGTCTCATCTTGGCCACAACCAGGTGGTGATCTGAAGCTATGTCAGCTCCTCTCCGGGTTCTCACATCTTCCATTGATCTTCGGAATTTTTTGTTGATACAGATGTGATTTATCTGGTTCTCTGTGTTGTGGTCCGGTGAGATCCATGTAGCTGTGTGTATGCGTTTGTGTGGGAATATTGTGCCGCCTATAACCAATTTGTTGAAAGCACATAGGTTTGCAAGTCTCTCCCCATTTTCATTTCTCTCTCCTAGTCCATGTCGTCCAATTACATCTTCATATCCTGTGTTGTCCACTCCAACTTTAGCATTTAGATCTCCCATAAGGATGGTGAGGTCCTTTCGTGAGCACTTTGCTATAATTGATTGCAGCCTTTCATAGAACTGATCTTTATCATCGTCGTTGCTATCATTGGTGGGTGCATAACATTGGATAACATTCATTGTGATCCCTTGCTTCTTTGTTCTGAATGTTGCTTTGATTATCCTGGGTCCATGAGATTCCCATCCCACAAGTGCATTTCGTGCTTCTCTGGACAGCATTAGAGCAACTCCCTGAGTGTGTGGCGCATTTTCCCCTTCGTGACCGGAGTACAGCAGCATCTCTCCTGTACCTAGCCTTTGTTGTCCAGTTTGTGTCCAATGGGTTTCGCTGATTCCGAGTACTGCCAAGTTGTATCTCCTCATTTCCATTGCTATTTGGCTGGTCTTTCCTGTTTCCCACATTGTCCGGACGTTCCATGTACCTATAAAGAGTGTTGCTCTGGTTGTTAGAAGGTGCATCGGTCTCGTGACTTCCGAAGAATTTCGGCTTTCATCATGAGACGTCATTATTCCTTCAACTCCCAGGGCAGAGTTTA